TCCTTTGTCTGCCCAACAGCATTGGGAGACCCCTGCGGAGAAGCTGACTGCAATAATGGTAATGGTGGTGAAGACAACAAGTCCCATGATCCCACAACATCCTCCCGAGGCCTAATGGCCTAATGGCAGAAATTGTATATTAGACTTAAAAATGTCTTTAGTTTTGCAGGTATTTGGTCATGAACCAAAGAATGTGACAAATTTAAAAATGACTCTCATCCATAGGGCCTCACTGCTACATTAGCATGGCTAAATATAATACTGACAGTCTTACAAACACATTAAATACATTTCTCATAAAACATTTGCAAGACCCTTTTTTATCTTTTGAAACCTGCATTGTTTACATGTTTATTAGCTTGCAGTCTTCTTTGTGACTGCTTTTGTTGGCACATTGCTGCCACCTGAGCCTAGCCCACAATAAAAAACAGGGCTACTAGAGGTAAAAAACTCCTAAACCCCAGGAAAGATCTTTCATACCTATGACACTGTCCCCTAAAAGTCAGTGACTGGACTCTGACAATCCTGATTTGCGGGACAGCCCTATCCCTTTAGTAACAACTAGTAGTTAAAGTACAATTACTGGTGAAATGATAGTTCACAGAATACATCCCTGTCCAGTCAGTAATAATGCTGTGTTCTAATAAATAAAGATAGGAGATATATACAGTATATGACAGCCTTCATTCCTTATCATCATACAAACTCATAGTTATGTATGGATAGATAGAACAGAAGACAGTACATGCTGTTTCAACTGCTATTGTTTACTGTTGTGTTCCAGTCAAACAGGGACAAATCCAGCCTCAATATGGCTGTTGTTTTCATTGAGGTAATCCCCCACTAGTTTAAATGCATTATTTACATGCATGCATGATTCCCTATTGGGAATTTGTCTCGGAGTTGCAGGGAGCAGTATGCAATGTGCAGCCCGCAAAGTCACGAGTCAGAGATTACATGTGAGTAACAGAAACAAATCATCTTGTTTTAGCCTGATTTTAATACATTTATGCACCAGCCAGCAGGGGTTACTTGTTCCATGAAAACCAAATCAAACCAAAACCAGAAATAAATTGATACTTATCACAAGTACTGTCTGTGTAGCCAAATCCTGATATATCTTATTCCTCTTTGTCATAGAGCCAGGTTGGTGTCCAAAAACTATTAAAAACACATCAGTGAGCCACATAGTTGCACTGGCTGACATGTTCTTCTTCAGTTCTCTGCTGTAAAGTTGGGCATTTTAATATGGGGTCTGATGGAGATTAACTCACTGCTGGAGCCAGCCTCAAGTGGCCGTTAGAGAAACTGCAGTGTTTGGTACTACTGCGTTTGTCAGCCACAGATCACTAGTGAATCACAATGTGTCTTATTCCACAGCTGAAAAAAGTCCCCAACAAATTTTGTCTTCTTTGAGTGACATTTGCTAAAAAAAAACCTGTAAATTTGTGACAATCTTTTATGATTAACAGCTTTAGTAGGAAAGATGGAGCTTTGGGCTGAGTGACAAGCAACTAAGTAACTAGCTAGCTAATCTACATTAAAGGTTAGCTAGCTAGTTCCATCTGATCACTAACGTTAGCAAAACTAGAATATTAGCTAACCAAGCGATCAATGTAGATTAGGTGGCTAGATGGCTAACTAACTAATGCTGACTTCGGTGTGACTAAATGTCACTTTTATGCTTAACCATCTTTAAAATGTGGTTGTCTTTTAAACATAAATTAGCCTAGCACATAATATATCTATATCTAAATTAAAAAATGTGTACAAGTGTAAGTTTATACAAGTGTATCCCCTCTCACTGTGTGTGTTGTGAAGAGTACATGACAATAATTACATATTATTAGTATCACTTGTAAATATTATTTGTCACATCATTTACATTGACGTATCAGAGGTGTGTGGCTGGTTAACTTGACTATCTCTTTCCTACTAATTAAACTGTACAGAATATCTAATGAGAATAAAAGGAGGAGATTTATTGACTGTATATGTTTGCATTTGTCTTCTCTCCAGGTACACAGTTCTGGTGTCTTCTGGACATTGTACCCATTAAAAATGAAAAGGGTGAGGTGGTTTTGTTCCTTGTGTCCCACAAAGACATCACCGACAAGAAGAAGGACCAGGATCCTGAACAAGGACCTGACACAGGTGAGTTAATGTAAATGACACCTTCTTACAGTTCTGATAATGGTAAAGTATGACTCCAACTTGTCCTCAAACACATAAAACACTGACTTGTATCTAGGAGTCTGGGTCAAGTCCTCAAAATGAGGCACACCCAGTGAACTAAGGTATTTCCATTTGTCCTGTTTTTTGGTTAGCTGTTCTTTCTCATTATTCTTAATTTGACAATGTAATCTTAAATCAGTTACTACTTACTAACTTTTGCTGGAGCTTTCAACTGCATCCCACAGTAATCATCAGTGAACATTTAAACGTCTTAGATTTTGTGACCCAACGTCCTTGTTATGACATGATCGGAGTTCAACAAATGACTCTAGAGGGATACCTACAGCATCATATTTTCAGAATCAGAATTATGTTTATTGCCAAGTAGGTTTTTACACCTACGAGGAATGTGTCCTGGTGCAATTGGTGCATAAAANNNNATCACACAAAAATCACACAGAAAATAGAAAAATATAGTACTTAAGTAAGTGAGAGGAGAGCTACTGGCCAAGATTTGACAACCTTGGAGTGTGAATGGGTTGGTTGGAGATAATGTGTTATGCTATGACACAACATATCACAGTATGTTTTCTATTTTTTTTTACATTTTGTAGTCAGGGTTGTTTTCATGATTTCAATAAAAAAAAAGGCTTCCCCAGAATCTTCCATGACACCTCTGTTATATTGGCTGTATAGTTTGAACATAATTACCCTTTAACACTGGAGAGTGCAACAACATGAACAATGTTTTGCCTCTCAGCTGTGCAACTGCAGTTATTGTAATGTCAAGCAAACAACAATTAAGCATCAATTAATAATTTTCATCCCTTTTTTCATCCTGCATCTTTTTCTAAGTGTAAATCTCACCCTGATTAGATAAGTGCTTTTCAATTTGAATATTAGCTACATTAATATTAATGACTGCCTCTATCAAATGCACATGGTGAACCATAAACATTCTCTCAGAGAATATGATAATGCAGATACTTGATGGGGGAGGTCACAATTGAAATTATCAGGCAGGATTTGTGAGTTAATTAAAGACAGTCAGGACTTAATTGCTGGCAGGGAGATATGAAAACTCCACTGACATCTTTTTTAGTACACAGTTACTGATGTTAAGAGGAAATAAAAATGCATCTTGTCAATGATCTCAAAATATTCTTATGTCTCAGAAAACTGATCAACAATCTTAGTGAGGCTGTCCTCCCAAGAAGAATGATAGCATCTTCTACATCTCTGTTCAGGTGACAAAGCCCTTTGTGGAGCCCGTGTTTACAAGCTACTGGGAAGAAAGTAGGGTCCCCAAATGTGAGATGCATCACTTCTGTTACTGGTCTTTATTTTACATTTTTTAACTTTTTTAATTTTTCCAGATTTGAAAATGGTCACAGACTTGAAAGGATATATATATGAAATTCACTTGATGACAAGAGCATCAGGATCTCAGACCAAAACAGTAGGACAGAAACAAAATTAAAATCACCTAATCCATCTTTGTTAGTCTTTCCAGCAATCACCAAAACTAGTTTGGTCAAAATAAACCCTAAATTGACTGAGTTCAATGTTAAAATATTTGTGAAAATGGCTGCAATGGCCCAACGAAAGCCAACGTTCATCCTTGGGGACAAATCAAAGTACGTCCACTAAAAGTTGTTGTTGTTGCCACTGACAGACTCAGGTTGTTATTGTCAGTATCTGACAGCATTATGGAGGATGCCTAAAACAGAGAAGACCTTTAGTTTAACCACAAGACACGTAAATATCACTATCACCCTCCTCCACCAGCAGCGTCCAGACAGAAACACTAACACACGCATAGCATCGTAACTTCATTCAGAGTGGACAAAAAACAAAATGAAACTCACCAAAAGAGTCTTTGTTAGTCTCTCTCCTTTACCACCAATCACCAACTCTTGTTTGGTAGAAATAAATCCTTAATTCCCTGACCTAGATGATGAACAGCAGCAGTTTCAGTCTCTCTGCTGCACATGGAGCAGACTGGCTATGTAAACAAACCACAGAGAGACTGTGATAGTAACACAGGCAGAGGGAGTGTGACACCATTCTCTGCTCAGGACTCCATGACTCCACTATATTGTTACAAAGCTAACAGTTGTTTGCTGCTATATTAATGTTTTAAATCTTACATATATAACATTTAAGTAGTGCCAAATAATGTTTTTCAGGTAAAAAACTAGTTAACTTAAATGTTTTGTGTTGTTTTTGTGTGTTTGGTGTGAAAGAAATGCTGGATAACCTAAAATCTACAACCTCACTGACATAACATAAAGTGCAATGTCATATATTGTTTGCCTAAACCCCATACTGCCGTCTACAGTAGAGATAAAATGTAGCAGTGAAAATGTTTTTTTTTTTAAAACAAAAAAGTAGCTGCAGTATTATTTTATTAAGAAACATAAATCATGATATACAGCAAGCTAATCTTTAACATTAGCTTACTGACGTTTAATGTTTAATGTTATGTTGTTATCACATTCTATGCTGCATCTGTAGGATTTATAAAGTGAGCCTCAGGCAAGGGCAATTCCCTTCATTGCTTTGTCTGTGGCCTAAAAGACAGTTCACCTACCTGATATAACATCCAAACAATAAAGATGTTGCTATTGTTATTAGTTAGCAGATTGAATATCTTAAAATGGTTGGTTAAGTCTGTGATGGGAATGTTTAAAATCACTGTACAGTGTTCATTCAAAAATATTTTGTAATCCTGCAGACATTACACTGCAAACATTGAATATACAGTTATTACAGACGTTCAGATCTTACTTTAAAACTTCCGGATCCTGTCGAGTTCACTACAGAGGATTTTAGAGTTCAATACCGAGCCTGGAGAGAGACAAGGAGAGAAGCAGAGTAATCAAGACTCTTAAGATGAAGTGGAGTGTTTAAAATTGTATTTTTTTTAGATTGACTGTCAGGGTTTGTCTGTAGTGCTTCCTGGTGGGAAAGAGCACCTGCTTGAAATCACTTAGCCAATTTTCCCCCACTTGCCCATGCTCTCTCATTTGGCTGAATATCTCATTGCCTTTCCGCCGAAATGATTGAATCCGGCTTCCATACACTCCGGCTGTGTTTTACATGCCACATGAGTTATTACATTTTAAATTCAAGCTAGCAAATTGGGAATGCAGTAGACACCACGGGGGACAGAACAAACAACAAAACAGACCGAAAGGAAAGGCAAGAGAGACAAAAGAGGATTTAAATTTTTTTTATTATTTGATTCATCACTGGGAAATAACCATTACCATTAGCATAACATTTAGGTTGTCATAAGAAAATGAAAGTGGGGGAAAAGTGACAACCAACCAGAAAATGAATGAAAGGAAAGGGTTTGACATTTATGATGTAATGAGTTGACGCAAACAATCCCGTTTACCTGTTCTGCTCCTCAGCTCCTCACTTTGGCACTTAGCTCAGCGTGATGTGCCTTTTCATAACCTAGAAGCAGATAGTGAGATGGAAGATGAGTGACAAGGAGAAAAAAATGCTGAAAACACATTTGAGATGAAAAAATCAAAGAAAGACTGAATATACAAAGCTTTATACTCCTTAACACTAACAAAAGTACTTTCCTAAAAAAATGCAATCACACGCTGGTATGCGCCCCAGCTTCCTCACACACAGATGCACACTGTGTTAATTGACTGTATTAATAATTCAAAATGTATAACCAGCCCATTAGCCACTAGCACACACAGGTTCCCCCAGAGAACATACTGTATGATCTGAAAACCAGCACTATCAGTAATCACAGCTTAATAAGAAGAATCTACCCTCAGGTGTGTAAATACCTTCTCCTTCTTTGCATTGCATTTCCCAATCTGCCAATATCAACTGCATTTCGAGCAGTTAAAGTAGAAATGGAAAGCTCATTCTCTGTTTTGTTTGTTTGTCTGTTTTTCCAAATCAGTTTTGAAATGGGAAAAATCTATTAACAAATGATACACAGATTCAGCACCCATCTCTAATTGTGAATTTGGTTGAACAGCTTTAAAGCTAGTCAGACCTCACCTTCCTGTGTCTCCAGTACTCATGCTGATGATAATTTGGAAAGATGAGAATCGCAAGTTAGATAAGAATCATTGTCACTGCCACATCTGTTTTTTTTACACTACGTGCCACATTCACCCTTTCACACACATTCACTCAGTGATGGCACAGCCCATTAAACAGAAACTAACTCATT